TCTCATCTTAACCAAAACCTGGGTGTTGCAGATAAGGCCCCTCCTCTGAGGGACTCCCAAGCCAGGGGGAGACTAGCTTCTAGACATACAATGACCCTTCAGTTTGTGTCTGGGGCCCCAGAGATCATCCCAGGAGGAGGGCCTTGGCCTGAACAAGCCCCTGGTGGTGGTGGTGGTGGGGGGTGGGGATAGGGCCGACTACACTTGGGAGTCTGCAGGAAAGGTGTAGATTACTCTCCACCCAGAAAGAGAGTGGTGAGCCCCAGGGAACAAGGATGGTGTCACATTGCACAGGCCTTCAGGGCTCTGGACTCTAGCCAGACTCTACTCTGACCTAAAGCAGTCCCCTTCCCACCCATTAGTGCATAAGGACACTTGGGACTCTGAGGGACACTGGCCCACACTCACAGAGAAGAGTAGGTTGGGTAGGGGAGCACAAAGTTTCAATGGGCATCTGAGTGAGGAGAAACGTGGCTTCTCTCCAGACCCTGGTGAGCTCTGGCCCTCCACCTCCTCCTCTCCACAGGGTGTGGACTGGGTGGCCACAGGCTTTCAGTGTGGCTGCAGACTCAGGAGGATGACTGGCTGCTGCTGCTGCTTTAAAAATAAAAAAAAAAAAAAAAATATATATATATATATATATATTTTAATTGTAGTTGGACACAATACCTTTATTTTATTTATTTTTATGTGGTGCTGACGCTCGAGCACAGTGCCTTACACATGCTAGGTGAGCATCCACCACTGAGCCACAGACCCAGCCCAACTGGCTGCTTCTTCACCCCTGGAAAGGGTGTAAGGCCCTCTGGGGAGGAGCTGCCCACAAGTCCTTCAACCTATCAGGAGAAAGGGTAGCCTTTGCTGGGAACCAGGAAGGAGGGCTCCCTACCAACCCCACTGTCCTTCAGGCTCTGGGTAATTAATTCTCTGTGACTCCAGATGTTCAGCAGCTGTCTTGGCCATTTCCGCCCCTTCTTCTGACCCCGCATCCGCCAGGAAATGTCCCCTCCTGTCCTTGGGCTCCAAGCCACCCCCACCTTCCCTGCACCCCATTTCCTGAGCACAGGCATTTGTGTAGACTTGGCTCCCCTTCTGCAGGGTGGCATCAGTGTTCCTAAGACTAGGGCACGGCTCCCTGAGTCCAGGGCTGTGGTGGTCTGTTCCCACTGAGCAGCACACTCTCTGCCAGGGCTCTGATCCTGGCTCTGCCCCTCTGGCCTCTGGGGCTTGTTTTCTCACTCTCCTTTTCTTCCTTCTCCAAGGTTGGCTCTGCCGACTTAACAGCATAAATCAAGGGCCTCCAGGGAGGCTAACAGAACTGGCCAGGGAGGAAGCATTGCCTCAGTGGGGGAGGGTGGAGGTCCAGGACTAGCAAACCCCGTGGGGGTGGGATGCATGTTAAGATGACTGCCTGGAGTAGGGTAACCAAAGGGGATTCCATCAGCCCAAGTGCAGGGACAGAACCCCCCAGCCCTGCTGCACTTCCCTGAGCAGAGGGGGTGGGGAACAGAAGGTCACTCCTGCCACAGCTGGTCCAGGCCAGGGGGCTCTTCTGGAGAGGGGACTGCTCCCTTCCTGTCACATGCTTTCCTGTATCACCAGAGCTGATGGTTCTGGGGCACTTGGGCTTCTGTGGGCTGGTGGGGTCAAGGGCCAGGCCAGAGAAGGCATGGAGTCCCTGAGGACTAGCGGCTCCAGTCTGCTGACCTCTGCTCTCCAGAATCCGGTCTCTGATCTCCCCCCTCCTCTAAGGGCAGGTGGGCCTGGCTGGGAAAAAAAGCCTCCATTTCCAAAGAATTCTCAGAGCAGATGAAGCAGGGAGAGTGCCCCCAGGAGGACAAAGCCTCTCCAGGGTTATCTTTTCCCAGGAATCAGAACCAAATGTAGTATCTGCACTTGTGGCACACGCCTGTAACCCCAGTGACTTGGGAGGCCAAGGAAGGAGGATTGAAAGTTCAAAGCCAGCCTCAGCAACTTAGGAATGCCATAAGCAACTTTGTGAGACTAACCCTGTCTCAAAAAAATAAATATCACCCCCCCAAAAAAAAAGCAGAACACCCTCTTATACTTTTTTTTTTTTTTGTACTGGGGATTGAACTCAGGGATATTTAACCACTGAGCCATATCCTCAGCCTTTTTTATTTTTTATTTAGAGACAGGGTCTCACTAAGTTTCTCAGGGCCTCACTAAGTTGATGAGCCTGGCTTTGAACTAGTAATCCTCCTGCCTTAGCTTCTCCAGGTTGCAATGGGCAAAAGGTGCAACTTACGCAGTAGAGGGGGAAAAATAAAGAATGTCCAAGCACTTCTGCTCTTTTCATTGCTTTACTCACTCAAATCACTCAATACAATTTCACTCTATAGGTTCTTTTTTTAAAATTTTTTTTTTTTTGTTTTAGGGGGACACAATATCTTTGTTTTACATTTATGTGGTGCTGAGGATCGAACCCAGTGCCTCGTGCATGCTAGGTGAGCACTCTACCACTGAGCCACAACCCCAGCCCCTCACTCTATAGGTTCTTAATTAAGAAAATGACAATCCTTAATGCTGAGCACTGCAATAGACATAATCAATTCACAGCAAACAATTCTAAATTAATTCTAAGCACTGAAAACACACTTAATCATGACAGGCTAAGGACAGACATTCCCTCTGCATGCTAAGCTCAAGTGTCAGATCAGAAGTCTCCAGCCTTAGGCTCTGAGTCCAGCAGATGCACACTCACTCAGACCACGGTGATCAGGTCAGGAGCCAAGGCAGGCTTCTCCTGGGGTGGGGCTGACAGCCGGCTGAGGAGAGGGTCATAGAGAGAAGTCGTGGCTCTCACCAGGGTCAAGGTGTGGCCACAGAGTTTGAGAGCAGTGAGGAAGGTGCAGAGGATCAGCAAATGATAAGAATTGGGATGTCAGTCTAGGTCCTCATCAGGCTCTCCAGCATGGGGGCATCAGTGTCAGTTGGCTGAATGTCTGTTCATTTGCTCTATCATTTATACTAAATTTGGGGGCTTCTGACCACCCTTTCAATCCCTATCAGCTGCCACAGATTTATCAGTGATATTATTTGCCTTTGGTCCCCACTCTGATTTTCTTGTCTCTCTCCCTTATTGGGGAGAGGACAACATGCCAGAGACTTCACTCTGAGTTTGTCAGGATGGGGAGAAGTGACTTCTTTATGTCAGGCTAAGCCTGATGATCATATTGGAGGGCTCCGTAGGCATGCCTGGTGAGACTGCAGGTTTCAAAGTGAAGTTTTTATAATTGCGTTGCTTAGGCTAAGGCCTAACACCATCCTTATACCCAGCTACTGGGATCATAGGCATGTGCCACCAGGCCTGGCTTGTACTTGAATTTCAAACAAACAATTTTTAAATACAGATGCTCTTTGACTTATTATGGGGTTATATCCTGTTTAACCTATCATAAGTTGCAAATATTGTAAGCAAAAAGTTCATTTAAAGCCAGGTGTGATGACACACATCTATAATTCCAACAACTGGAGAAGCTGCCTCAAAATAAAATTAAAAAGGCTGGGGATGTGGCTCAGTGGTAGAGCACCCCTAGGTTCAATTCCTAGTACTGAAAAAGGAAAAAAAAAAAGTATATAATACACCTAACCTGCAGGTCATAGCTTAGTCTAGCCTATCTTAGATGTGCTCAGAACACTTATATTAAACAACAGCTGGACAAACCATCTAACAGGAAATCTATTTTATTTTACTTTGCAGTACTGGGGTTTGAACCCAGTGTGCTCTACCACTGGGCTACATCCCCAGTCCTTTTTACTTTGAGACAAGTTCTTGCTAAGCTGCTGACTGGCCTAGAACTTGTGTCCTCCTGCCTAAGCCTCCTGAGTCCCTGGGATTCCAGGACACACCACTTGACTGACTACAAAGCTATTTCATAGTGAAGTCTTGAAATCTCATGTACCAAGAGTGAAAACAATAGTTTAATGGGTACACTTCTATGTCCACTGTGAGGTCAGGGATTGCAATACTTGGAACATACTCATAAAGTATTTGCTGCTTATCTGAAATTCAACTTTAACTATATATTCTGTACTTATTGGAAACCCCGAGTGTGTGTGTGTGTGTGTGTGTGTGGGGGGGATCAACTAATCCTTGTCCCATCTGCAGCTCCTACAGACAGCAGCATCCCTTAGCTGATCCCAAAGCCAGAGGGGGCTATTTAGACCAGGTGGTTTTCCAACCCAACCTAGAGCAGGGGAGTCAGAGGGGGCTCTTGAGCCCCTGAATCTCTCTTCCCCAAAGCCTGGTGTCTCAGGCTAGCCTGATTCTCAGGCTCTGAAGTCTGTCTGGGTTTTCCTGGTTCTGCACTTTTGTTTCTGATCTTGGAAATTATTAAATGAGTCTCCTGAATGGTGCCCAACTGGTGGCCTCTACATCTGCCCCTTGACCCTCAAGTGGGTCGGCCCTCTCCAGTGTATGAGGAAAAGTCTTGAGAACCACCAGAGCCTCAAGAAAAGAGGAAGGTACAGCTTGTGGAGTGGTCTGAAGGGAAGGGGCGGCTCAACCAGGGACTGGAAAAGAGGAACCCAGCCTGGCAGGACCCACCTGGGGAAGGTCTTTGCTGCTCCTGCTGCCAGTAAAAAGAGGATCCAGAGGAGGTGGGGGAGGGGAGTTTCCAGCCTGCCCACACTCTCTTTCCTGACCAGGAACGGGGACAGCGGCAGGAGCTGCAGGCCAGGAGTAAATTCTGCCTCCTTGCTCCAGCAGCAGCCCTGTTTGACCTGGTCCTTGAGGGGAGGTATACACCAGGGGACCCCAGGGGGTGGGTTATCCCCAATAACCTTGGAGGTGTCCATTTGTGGTCATCTTCGGTTAAGAAAGAGGGAGGTGCTGGGGCAGGACCTGCCGAGGGCGTGGCTGCGAGATCTCGAGGTGTCAGCCTCAGGGCGGGGCAAAACTTGAGGTTCACACATCGGAAGTATCACCTCTTCCCTCAGCAACAGTGACTCACAAAGCTGGTCTGTGCTGGGTGGATGCAGCCTCCCCATGGTCCTGGAAGGTCTAGGTCACAAAGGCCATTTAGGGTCTATCCAGAGGAGGTATGTCCAAGGCTGCCCCGCGAGGCGCTCGCCCCCGCAGCCGCCCGCTGGGCCGGGCCTGGGCCCCCCTCTGATACTTAGCCCAGTGACTGGGCCTCGGATAGCACAGAGCCTTGGCACCAATGTGTGTCATCTGCTTCGTGAAGGCGCTGGTACACGTGTTCAAGATCTATCTGACTGCGAACTACACCTACAACTTCCGCAACTGGCCAGTGGACTTTCGCTGGGATGACGTGCACGTCGCAGGCAGTGGTCACCGCGCACTGACGTGTGCTGCAGCAGCAGCGGGTGTTTGGCTACTGCGTGACGCGGCACTGGGCGGGGATGTGCAGGGGCGCCCTCCGCATGGGGCTCGAAGCCAGACACAGTGCCTCCTACAGCAGATCCGGGAGCTGCCAGGGCAGCTCGCCAGTTACGCGCTGGCTCACTCACTAGGCCGCTGGCTCGTGTATCCAGGCTCCATGTTCCTGATGACACGCGCACTGCTGCCGCTACTACAGCAGGGCCAAGAGCGCCTCGTGGAGCGCTACCATGGCCGGCGCGCCAAGCTGGTTGCCTGTGATGGCAATGAGATAGACACCATGTTCATGGATCGCCGCCAGCAACCTGGTAGCCAGGGCCATGGCCTGCGCCTGGTCATTTGCTGCGAAGGCAACGCGGGCTTTTATGAGATGGGCTGCCTGTCAGCGCCACTTGAGGCCGGCTACTCTGTGTTGGGGTGGAACCACCCTGGCTTTGGCGGCAGCACAGGCGCGCCCTTCCCGCAGCACGATGCCAACGCCATGGATGTGGTGGTGAAGTACGCACTGCACCGCTTGCACTTCCCGCCCAAACACGTGGTGGTCTATGGCTGGTCTATCGGTGGCTTTACAGCTACCTGGGCCACCATGACTTACCCAGAGCTGGGTGCACTGGTGTTGGATGCCACCTTTGATGATCTTGTGCCACTTGCCCTGAAAGTCATGCCCCACAGCTGGAAGGGACTGGTGGTACGAACAGTGCGGGAGCACTTCAACCTCAATGTTGCAGAGCAGCTGTGCTGCTACCCTGGCCCAGTGCTGCTGCTCCGACGAACGCAGGATGATGTGGTCAGCACCTCAAGCCACCTGCCCACCCTGCCACCCAGCGACGTGGAGGGCAACCGTGGTAATGAGCTGCTTTTGCGCCTGCTGCAGCACCGATACCCAGCTGTGATGGAACGTGAGGGCCGGGCTGTTGTGACCCGCTGGCTTCGAGCCAGCAGCCTGGCACAGGAGGCGGCTTTCTATGCTCGCTACCGTGTAGATGATGAGTGGTGCCTGGCAACACTGCGTTCTTACCGTGATTGCTGCCAGGAGGAGCTGGAGGACCAGGACTGGGGGCCACATGGGCCTACTTTCCCCTGGCTTGTGGGCCAAGGTCTCAGCCCACAGCGGCGCCGGCAGCTGGCACTATTTCTGGCACGCAAGCACCTCAAGAATGTGGAGGCGACTCACTGCAGCCCACTGGATCCCAAGGACTTCCAGTTGCCCTGGGAACTGTAGCGCATGGCCCCCAAGGCTGATGCATTTGGGTACCTGTACACCTTCCAGGCCTTAGGACCGTTCCCCTTCTACACTCCCAACCAGAGAAGGTGGTCCTGCAGGGAGTCCTGACCTGGAGTCTGGGGAGGTTGGGTAGTATGTGTGGAGCATGCTTACCATTCCCTGGGGTGTTCAGACCTTCCCTCTGTTTTTCTATACCTCCCTCTTTCCTCTCTCTTCCACAAACAATTTTGGACACATGTCCCAGTTCCCAAAAGGAATGCAATGGTGAACCTGACCCAATTTATGGCAATGCTGTGTAATGGGTGCCTGTCATTGCAAAAGACTGTCAGGAACAGGCTCTGGGGCCACAGAGAGGCACCCTTAACCTGGCCTTGGTTTTGGGGATGGTTCCTGAGAAGAGGATGTCCACTCAGTGATTAAGTGTACAAGTTGTCCCTAGCTGTGAAAGGACATTGGCATTGCATGGCGACAATGTCTCAGCAGGTAGACATTTTTAGTTGCTTTGCAGGGCTGCCTTCCCACCTCCACATTCTGTGGGAGACAGCTCTTGGAGACTGCAGACTTGGAGTAATTTGGCACAGGATGGCACAGGGCCTAGAGATAGCTGCACTGACTACTCATTGCTGGGCCTACTCTCGGGCCAGGCTTGGACTTTGTTCATGGCTCAGGGATGCAACACAGAATGTGAGAAGGCTTCTGCTCACTACTACGTCTAATGTAGTGGCTTCCTCAAGCAGGGAGTGTTGGCTGTCCCTGTCATCCCCAGCCTCTTGTGGACAGAGGCTGGCCAGGTTGGATTGAATAAGGTGGCAAGTGGGATGATGTATTATTGGGCACCCCTCAACAAGATATTATCATATGGTAAGTACTCTGGATGTTATGAGTACTAGAAAAACACCTGTGGGAGGAGGGGAGCCAGGTCAAAGTAGGAACAGCCAGATGAAAGTAGGCTTCCAGGTCTGGGGTGTGTGTGTGTGTGTGTGTGTGTGTACCAGTACCTGTAGTGGCCTAGCTGGAAGTGGGGAGTACAGTCAGTCTAGGGCAATCATAGATCTGACAGGGTGTGAATACCATTTACTTCCAAGAGTGAGCAAGGGCCAAAGAAAGAACATGGTGGGACTTGTTTTAGCAGCTCGTGTCTGATGGTCAAACCTCTCTCCTTTGAAGTCAGGCAGGATCTTATTCCAAAATCTCTGGAATCCTGGTAGCCCCTCAGCTAGCTGAATGACCTTGGGCAAGTTACCTTGGCTTCGGTCTCTTCATTTGTAAAGCCGCGAGGGTGCTAGTACTGGTTCACAGGTTGTTGTGAGAAGTGAGAAAACTGTGGGGTGCACACACAGGGTTAGCCCGCAGGCGCGAGCGAGGAGGTCCCCGCAGTGTCCACGTCTGTGTGAACTCTGCTGGCGCAGACGCGCTAGATCAGGCAGGGGTCTAGGAATTGAACCACGGGGCGGGCAGCGGCGCCTACAGGGCACAGTACGAATCATGGTCTTTTTCTGCGCAACCCTAAACAATTGTGCTCACAGAGGACAATCTGAAAAAAGAAAACTAGGACAAAAAAGACTTGCGGGGGTTGGGTGGAGAGGCCGACTCCCCCCCAAGTCAAGGGTTGGGCCTTGGTAGGATCTCATGGGTCTGACCCGCCCAAGTGCGCGGCCAAGGCCCCTGGGGGCAGCTGCACACACGCCCCGATGGTTCCGTGGGTTCAGCGCCTCGCGTCATACGCCAAGTTAGACACGGTCCTCCCGCTTCCCACCTCTCCCGGGCTCCTGCTCTGACAGCCGTTCTACCTGTGCGTCTCGCTGGTGGAGTCAACCTGGGAGGGACGCCTCCAGCCTCCACTTCCGGCTTTGCCTGCAGCTTTGGCCTATCAGGGCCACACGGGTAAAGGGAGACGGGACCAAAGACTGCTCTCATTGGACGCCGCCTGTAGGGCCGGGACGAAGGCGCAATACGCGCATAAGCGGAAGTGGGTCGGCGCGTCGATGATTACGTGCTGCCGCGGCGGGCGGATCGTTCCGCTAGCTCTCGAGTGCTTGGTGGGCGACTCCCGGTGCCGCCCCTAGGTACCAGTAGCGCTGGTGACCCAAGCCCGGACGCCAGGTGCGGCCCGGCTGGCGCATGAACATGGACTCCGCCGGCCAAGGTACTCGGGCCCGGGCCGCCCCGCATCCCGCCCCTCCCGGGGCCCGCTTCTCGGCAGCTCGGGCCCCTCCGCCTCCTCTGCTCCCTCCGCCCCCTCAGCCTCTGCCCTACAGCCCCGCGGCTCCGCAGTACCCGCGGGCCCCTGGCTTCCTTGCTCGCGACGGTCGCAGTGTGCATCTTCGGCTTCTCCCCAGCGGCCCTCCGGACCTCCGCTGGGACTGGCGTCCCCCGCCTCTCAATTGGGTTTCCCTCACTCCGGGCGGCTTCCGCAGCATCATTCACCCCCTGCCCTTGTTGGCTGTGCCCGCCTCCGTCCCTGCGCAGGGCGTCGGGGATACCCAGGTAGCCTTGGACCCGGGCTTAGTGTCGTGGGCGGCTCCTGGCGGCCAGAGGAGGTGAACCAGCGTTGAGCGCCGCGCCCCTTGGGTGGCAACGCTGCTCCTGGCTCTCATGGGGTTGCCTCCTGGGAAGAGGCTGGAGTGAGTCAGGGGCACACCCCGCACACCCGGCCTGTTTCCAGAACAGACGCCCAGACAGTATGAGGCGGCTACTGAGGGGTGTGGAATGGGCCTAGGAAATTAAGATCTTTTGTGTGTGTGTGTGTGTGTGTGTTGGTACTGGGGATTGAACCCAGGGACGGATTACCACTGAGCCACATTCCCCAGTCTTTTGTGTTTTTTAAAAAAATATTTATTTTTTAGTTGTAGTTGGACACAACACCTTTATTTCACTTATTTACTTTTTATGTGGTGCTGAGGAACGAACCCAGGGTCTCGCACTGGCGCTGTACCGCTGAGCCACAACCCCAGCCCCTCCTTTGTATTTTTTGAGACAGGGTGTCACTAAGTTGCTTAGGGACTCGCTAATTGTCCAGGCTGGTTTTCAACCTAAGATCCTCCTGCCCTAGCCTCGAGAGTCACTAGAATTACAGTTGTGTGCCCTGGCCCGGGAAATTGAAATCTAGAGAAGATGGTACAAATATGTCTTCCAATTTGGGGCTCTAGAAATGGGATGCTGAATACTGCATAGATATAACTACTTTGACAAGTTCAGGAAGCTTTTTTTTTTTTTAACTGTTTGGCTTGTATCAGCATATTAATTAATCATTGGAATTCCTGAGTTCTGATACATTTTGGAAGTTTTCTTGCTTTTGGTGGCTATATACAAAATAGTTGAGAGTAGAATTTCCAGCTCTGATAAATTAAGATGACTTTTTAATGTTTTACTTGCATCTTTAATTGAGGTGAGTATCACAGTTTTCAGATCATGGGAATACAGAAAACACTTGAGCATTTATGATGTGTCAGACAGCCACCATAAACCTGTTTCTCAAGTGATTTATTTATTTATTATTACAGAGTGACCTTTTGAGATTGGTCCTTGCGTTACCCTCATTTTGTAGATGAGTATAGTCATTGAGAGTTGAGACTCACCTACCCCCTGCGGTTTAGCTCACTAATCTTTGTCTATGGCAGCACCTCTACACTTATTTTCTGTAGTACCATTGGTAAGATATTTTCCTGATTTTAATCCCTTCTGTAGATTAGTGATGAGTTCAGTATCTTGGTGTCTATCTGGGGGTGATTTCTATAGGACCAAGTTTTAGCTTTATAGGGGAAACTGTCAAAGTGCTTCATTTCTTAAAATATGGGAGAAAACTTGTAGTGATTTTAAGGTTCTTACTGAACTTGAGTCTCAATACAGTGAATGATGAAATAAAATAATGTAGGTTGATTTCAGTTAAAAATTAGAATCACTGATAGAAGAAATACTTCTTTTATTTCATAAGCACTTGTTGAGTGCCAGAAAAATGTGCAGCTTCAGCAGTGTGGGACATGTGAAGAAAACAAGATGCAGCCAGTTACTTTTACTTTTTGGTACTGGGGATTGAACTCAGGGACACTCAACCACTAAGCCACATTCCCAGCCCTATATTTTGAATTTTATTTTTCTTTTAATGACTACTTCTGAAAATTATTTTTAGTTGTAGATGGACACACCACCTTTATTTTATTTATTTATTTTTAATGTGGTGTTGAGAATCTAACCCAGTGCCTTCACACTTGTAGGCAAGCACTCTTCCACTGAGCCACAACCCCAGCATCCTCCACCCCCAGCCCTTTTTATATTTTATTTTGTAACTGGGTGTCACTAAGTTGCTGAAGCTGGCTTTGAATTCGCAGTCCTCTTGCCTTGGCCTCCTGAGCTGCTGGGATTACAGGCATGCTCCATGTTGTCCAGCAGCTAACTACTTTAAATATAGCATCATTGGTTTTAGTGCATTCAGTTTATTTTTAGTAGACTCTTTAGAAGTTGTACAGTTGACAAACTTTACTTTATTTAAAGATACTTTTCCTTCTTTCCAATCTTTATGCCTTTATTTTAATTGGAATACAACATACTATTGTAAGCCTTTTGTTCACAGAAAATGCTGGTTAAGAGGGAAGATGTTTTCAGTGTTGATTGTATAAAAAAGTACTAAACAATAAGTCATATATTTGTAGTTGGAGAGAACTGAAGTAATGTTTTTCCTTATGTTGAGTCTTCTGGGCCTTTAGTGCAGACAAGAAGATACACTTAATGTGAAGGAAAAATAGCGACTGCAGGAATTAGAACATGATCCAGTGTGGCAAGGTGTGGGGAGGCAGTACGCCCCCTTCCCACCTCTGCATGTGTTAATGTCTGGCTGTGGGATGGGGTTCAAGAATGACATCAAAGGTGTTTTTTGTTTTGCTGGTTTCTTGCAGTGGCTGGATAACTAGCACATGTTCCTTGTAATTTTAGCATGTCCCTGGCAGACCATTTGAGTGCAAGGTGCTGCTTGTGTGTTTATGGCCATGTTAAACTCCTTTGCTCTAAAATGCAAAGTCTGTTAGATTCAGCCACTTTCTTTATAGCCAGGGTTTTCTGCCTTGGAAGATAGTATTCTTACAGGGAAACCAGGGTTTGGCTGCCTTGCCCAGTATTTCGCGTGCTCCAGCAGCACTGGGGGTATTAGGTTTGCCTCTCAGGTGGCTTGAGAAGTACCTGCCTTCCATCTGATGCCCAGGCTGTCTTCACAGGTCTTTCACAGAGGAGGCATTGCTAGTCTCTTTCCCTCTACCTGTCACCTGTCCCATCACTCCTGCTTCCTTTCTGGTGGAGAACTCCACCCTGTTTACTTCCCAGTTACTTGACATTTTCTGACCCCATTTTTGTTGTGGCAGATATCAACCTGAATTCTCCTAACAAAGGTCTGCTGTCTGACTTCATGACCGATGTCCCTGTCGACCCAGGTGTGACTGCCCGGACTCCTGCTGTTGAGGGTTTGACGGAGGCTGAGGAGGAGGAGCTGAGGGCCGAGCTTGCCAAGGTGCTGTGATTTGGCTGTCTGTCCTGGGGTGTTCATGAGTCCAGGCCATCTTGGATTAATGAGGAGCCAGAGCACTGCCTATAGTCTGAAGGAATTGCCCTGGGGGATTACCCACCTACTGTGTTCCCACCTATTACATGTTTATCTCCTTATGTGCCCAACTCTGTGGAGTAGACTCAGAACCACTGGCGGTAGAAGTAGACCCTAATCTCTACTGCCTCTGCCTGGCACTTAGGTTTTTAGGGGAGCATCTACTCAGGTTTGACCTCTGAGCATGCTGTCTGCTGGGATGTTCTCCATTGGAGTTAACACTTGACAGTGTTTTTTCCCTTTTTTTTTTCTTTTTTCTTTTTTATAGGGGA